ATAAATGAAACATTTTTTGGTAGGCATGTTAAGATAAATGATTTTTTTGGCCAAAAAAGAGAGATATTATTACTATTAAAAACCAACTACATTGTTCAAACTTTATGTACAATACACCACAAAACAAGAACAGTAAAATCAATTAGTGAGCTTAAACAGAAAATATCATTTTCTAAGTGGGAAAATTAAATTGCTAAACTAAAGCATTAACTTAAGCATTATCCGATGCTTCAATTCTGCTAGAGCCTTCTATGCCCCCATGCTGCCTTGCCCTCCATTTCCCTACCACACAATCGAATTAAGAAATCAATTTAAAGAAATCTTTATCACTATTTTTATAAGAATGTACTCATGCGAATAATCCTTACTTGCAGGTATTGATGCAATCATACAGAAGTTAACTTTAAGGTTGCTTTCTCACTAACCTTTTCATTGCATCAATTCTGCTTATCTTCATAAGAATCCATTGCTTGGTAGACATTATTGAAAGCAGCCACCGCACTATAGGCAGATTTGGCTCCGCATCCACCTAAAAATTTATACAAATAAACTAAATAAGACATGATCCTTGTAGAAAAGTAGAAATAGGAAGAATCAATGATCATAGAGCCACCACGTTGATGCCAATAGCACAAAAACCAAAAATGGAAAAGCTTTCTGAAACACATTAAGGACATATTTATTCATGTAAAGAGAACAATCAGCAAACCGTGGAAATGTTAATTGTTCATGAACATGCATTCAACCATAAAAGTTTTTTGATAGTTATATCAAGAATATTAAATCCCACCTTCATAAGGGATTGCTGCTTGTGGGTTTCAAGATAAGTATATCCATACATTGAAGCATAACTGTTGCACTAGAAAAATAGAATTATGAGTAGAGCTTAATAAAATGGACATGCCCAAGATAGTGAAGTTACAGTATGTTGGAAAAACAGGATCGGTGGTGCAAAAGAAGCAAGCATGGATGATGGGTATTTCAGAATCTAAAAGGATAAAAAGACCATGAATGTTGTATACCGCATTTCCTTAATCTTTTTCTAGAAAAAAAAAAAAAGTGGAAAAAATTCTAATGTTCACTATAATTAACTTGCTCGATAGGCTCCTAGGAAAAGGTTTGAGCAGAAATGCTGAGTCTTTTCTTTGGAAAGGATCACCTTTGGTCAATTTTTCACGTTTAGATGAATACCATTTGCAAAAAAAAAATCACAAGTCAAGTGCTAGATTGTCAGGACATGAATGAATGGCTAACAAACCATCGAATGAAATTGAAACCAATCAACAATCACAAGTCCTGAACCCAAATTCTTGCAACCAACCTCCCCCTACCAAAAGACAAAACAAGTCATGATCAAGAAGGCATCAATTCGCTACCACAAGCAATCACTATAGTCCCAAAATCTCAAGTAAATAAAGCACTTACAAAAACCAAGTCTACAAGTAATCTAGAACAAGAAAAAAAAAATTAAAAATAAACACCTGTCCCTCAATAATATACCAGAAATACGTCAGACAAAGAGGAAACTAGTATCAATAAAAATCCATAAAATAAAAATTCATACCAGCTCCTGTGTATAAATCGAAATTTATAACTGTCTTGTGTAGAATTCCGAGGAAACTAGCATCAAGCTACAACTTAGAAGATGGAATACTGAAAAGCATACAAATAAGAGTAAAAAATTTAGAGAAGCAGAGAATATATTGCTTAAATTGACATTAAAAAGGTGAGATACCTCAGACCTGACCAAATTCCGATCCCTTCACATCTCATCGACAGTTGCTACTATAATTTGGTTCTTGTTCTCCATGAGATTCCAATCGATTTTCTTACATACTGTTTGGATTGGAGGTGTAGGACAGAAAGGGAGGAGAGGGGATGGGGAAGATAATAAGGGAGGAGAGGGGATGGGGAAGATAATAAGGGAGGGAGAGTGAGGGGAGGTTGTCTCCTTCCTCTTGTTCGGATTTCAAAGATGCAGAAGGGGAGGGAGATCGACCGATTTGGAATGCCTTTTCAACCACCCCCAAATCTGTCGATTTGCAATCTCTTGACAAGAGGAGAAGGGGCTCGTAACGTTGTGGGGTTAGGGATTTGTTATAATTCGTGGTATATATACCGCAGTTTTAGTTGTAAATATGTGAAAGAATGATGGGCAAAATAGGAAGATGAAAATTTTCGTTAAAGATGCGGAGAAGCTCACCCAAAAGCACATATCCTTTGCTTGAATTGCTTCTCCATTTTTCACTTCTCAAAAGCTCAAAATACCTTTTCAACTACTGAAGCTGTTTGGTCAGCTTGTGATTCTACAACTGAAAAGGATTTTTCAGCAGCTCTACCAAACACACACTAAGAAGAAGGATGTTCGTGCAACTAAAGCTTTTGGACTTTAAAAGCATTTTTCACCAGCTGCACTAAACAGGCACATATCATTTATCATTAATTATATATAAAAAAATAAAACACTCTTATATGTGAATAAAAAGAAAATGAGAATACCAGCCAATAAAACAAAAAGCTAAGAAAATGAGAAAATTATAGTCTTTATGGGAATAATATTACGAGAATCCTTCCCTTTAGTCCTTTATCCCCTTTTCCCCTTCCGCTCTCCATCCACCTAGTTTATTATTTATTTATCAATGAAACTAACTAGATGTAGAAATTAAGAACGTGTGTTCTTTCAAGATGATGTGGTGCATTTATAGGGCTTCTGTTTTAACATTTCCCAAATTGTTATTTCATA